ATCCCCTGCTTGTTATTTTACTGTATACCAGGCCTTTTGGCAGGGTACAGAGGCTGCCTAAATGCGGCTACCCTTTGGAGCAAGGCAGGTGCTTTTCAGACTGGCTTCATTCAGGGCCTAATTTTTTATGCTTTCATTTGAAAGTTTTGTTTAGGGGAGGGGGTACCCTCCTTCCCTCCTGTTAAGCTGTCCCGCAGATTCACTCAGGGGGGCTGAACTGTGCACATGGCTTTGGAACCAGTGGGTCTTCCCTGAGGGGTGAGGGCTGGCTTACCTGGATGGAGGTAGTGGCCCTTTGTGTCCAGCTATTGGAAGACAGTTTGCTCGGTGCATAACAGATCCCATCTCGGCGGCCAGAGCAGTGCGAGGTGGCTGATGTCACTTCCAGTGGCAGGAAGGAAGTGGTTATCACCATTTTTCCCCACACCACAGCTAGTCCCTGGATCCACTCTGTGAGGGGGGCTTTCCTAGGTGGACCAGGGAAAAGTGGCAGTGCCCTGCAATCTACACAAAAATGGCAACCGTCCCAACCTACAACCAGCCTTAGCAGTAAGGTGCACATGGAAGGGCAATGCACATCACAGACAAAAAAGGATTTGCCAGCAACACTTACCAGCCAGCTTGCAAAACAACCACTTTGGCCCTGTCTAACAGTTTGCATTAAAAACAGAGGGTTTTGTTTTCACACATTTGCAAATACATGTGTAAGTCACAGTCCCACTTCAAGGGTCCTCTGTAGACTTCAGGCCTAACCTAACTAAAAATTTCAAAGCCTCCGTAGTAGGAGCACATGTATAAATGTATAAAGATGCCATCTTAACTCCCCCAATTCGATTGTAAGCTTATTCAGCTACAGTCCTGTGACTGTTTTTTTGGGCAGAAAAAGCTGGTGCCTGGATCATGTTTCCTGGTGGGAGAAGCCTGTCTCTCATGTTAAGCTGTCCTGGAAGATTCCTTGAAATTCAGTTAACCGGTACATAGCGTAACTGTGTTTTCTCCTGTTTTTTGTATCTATTTTCTATGATTACCTAATCAGTATGCTTTGCTGAAGGATGCTATAAAACTTATACATTAAAAGAAAAGTGAGACAATTTTCAAGAGATGCAATACTGTTTTAATGACTTACAGTCATGGCCAAAAATATTGGCTCCCTTGCATTTCTGTCAGATAATGCACCACTTCACCCAGAAAATTGTTGCAATTACAAATGCTTAGGCATTCTCATGTTTATTTCTTTTGTTTGTATTGGTATGACACAAAAAAAGTGGAGAAACAAAAAGCCAAATCTGACACATTCCACGCAAAACCCCCAAAATGGACTGAACAAAATGATTGAATTCCTCAATTTAATATTTGGTAGCACGCCCCTAGAAAAAAATAACTGAAATCAATTGCTTCCTGTAACCATCCGCTACAGGAGTTTCTTCCACCTCTCTACTGGAATTCTGGACCATTATTCTTTCGCAAACTGCTTCAGGTCTTGCCGATTGGAAGGGTTCCATTTCCCAACTGCTGTTTTGAGCTCTCTCCACAGGTGCTCTATGGGATTGAAATCTGGACTCATTGCTGGCCAATTCAGTACTCTCCAGCGCGTTGTCTTAACCACTTGCCTACCGGGCAGTTATACCCCCTTCTTTACCAGGCCAATTTTCAGCTTTCGGCACTGTCGCACTTTGATTGACAATTGCGCGTTCATGCAAGATTGTACCCATATGAAATTTGTATCATTTTTTTCTCACAAATAGAGCCTTTTTTTTGGTGGTATTTAATCACCGCTGGGCACTTTACTTTTTTGCGCTATAAACAAAAAAAGTGCAAAAAATTAGAAAAAAAAAAAAAGTTTCTTTGTTTCTATTATAAAATTTTTCAAACAGGTAATTTTTCTCCTTTACTGATGTGCGTTGATGAGGCAGCACTGATGGGCACTAATAGGCGGCACTGATGGGCACTGATAGGCAGCACTGATAGGCAGCACTAATGAGGTGGCACGGATAGGCGGCACTGATAGGTGGAACTAATAGAGAGCACTGATAGGTGGCACTGACTGGCATTACTGCTGAGCACTGACTGGCAGCACAGCTAGGCATTGACTGGCACAACCGCTGGGCACTGACTGGTGGCACTGACTGGCAGCACTGCTGGGCTGCACTGATGGGCACTGGTGGGTGGCACTGGTGGGCACAGGTGGGTGGCACTGGTGGGCACAGGTGGGTGGGCACAGATGGGTGGCACTGCTGGGCACAGGTAGGTGGCACTTCTGGGCACAGGTGTGTGGCACTGCTGGGTGGCACAGGTGGGTGGCACTGCTGGGCACAGGAGGGTGCACTGCTGGGCACAGGTGGGCACACTGCTGGGCACAGGTAACACACTGCTGGGCACAGGTGGGCGGAACTGGTGGGTGGCACTGCTGGGCACCGATCATCAGGGCACTGATCATCAGTGCCCTGATGATCGGTGCCGATTCCTGCTCTGACAACTGCCGGTTCTCGGCAGTACTTTCCTCATGCTCTGACAGCGTGAGGAAAGTGCAGCCGAGAACCGGCAATTGCATTTCCTGGTGATCAGCGTGTCATTGGACACGGCTGATCATGTGGTAAAAGGCTGCTGTGATTGGCCTTTTGCCACATCACGTGATCAGCTGTGTCCCTAGGACACAGCGATCACGGAGATCGCCGGGTGGCAGGAGAGTGCATTCTGGGAGGACGTCATTTGATACCCTCCCAGAACTGGCCGGCCGCAGTGTAGCCGTCATTTGGCTATCTGCGGTTGGCAAGTAGTTAAACTATTTCTGGGTGTTTTTTGACATGTGCTTTGGGTCATTGTTCTGCTGTAAGACCCATAACCTCAGAGACCCAACTTTCTGACACTGGGTCCCCTACATTGCACCCCAGAATTCCTTGGTAGGCTTCAGATTTCATAATGCCGTGCACACAGTCAAGACATCCAATGCCTAAAGCAGCAAAGCAACCTCCACCATGTTTGAATGTAGGGACTGTATTCTTTTTTTAATCTCATTTCTTTTTCTGAAAACAGTAGGATGGGGAGCTTTACCAAAAAGCTGTAATTTTGTTTCGTGTGTCCACAGCACATTCTCCCAAAAGGATTTTGGCTTCCTCAGGTAAGTTTTGGCAAACTCCAATCTGACTTTTTTATGTTTTTTTATGTCAGCTGTGGGGTCCTCCTGGATCTCATACCATATTATATATATTCAGATTGCAACATATAGTGCAAGCCTTTATTTGTCTGGCAGTTAATCAAGGTTCTTTATCCACCATTTGAACAATCCTTTGTTGCAATATTTTATCAAGTCTTTCGTCTATGTCCAGGGAGATTAGCTACAGTGCCATGGGCTGTAAACTGGTTGACAATTTTGCTCACCATGGGCACAGGAACATTAAGATCTGTTAATTGACACAGGTGAGTTTAAAAATTACACGACCATCACAAACTTGGAATGCAAGCATTTCTTACAATTTTGAGAAGGTGCCAATATTTTTTTCCAGTCCATTTTTGGGGTTTTGCGTGGAATTTGTCAGATTTGACTGTTTCTTCACATTTTTATGTCATACCAAAACAAATAAAAGAAATCAACATAAGATTGCCTAGACATTTGAAATTGAAGCAATTTTCTGGGAAAAGAGGTGCATTATCTGACAGAAATGCAGAGGTGCCAATATTTTTGACCATGACTGTATGTAATACCCCTTATAGAACACTCTTATTGAGGCAGAACAATGGGTAGGATTTGCAAAGCAGACCTGAAGTTTAAAAATAGGGCTAAATTGTTTGACATGAGTGGCTGTATCCATTTATAATATACAATACACTCCGGTAAAGCCATTAAAGTTTTCTTTTAGGATGGGAGGCCTTGCAATAGGTAAGTATTAGTGATGATGATGTGCAAAAACCACAAGTAATGAAATCACACTGTGAACAAAACAAAATACAGCAATAAGACAAATTTTATTCATCCCTTGCATATTTCTACAAGTAACTGCAAATAATTAAATTTTTGTCTAACTTTAGTTATAATGCTTTAAACTTCAGTAGCGAAGGAAACATGCAGCAATTACTTTATGTGAATTTTTAGGAATGATGCATAATATCACACGGCTGCATTGGCGAATAAGTACAGCAAAAGGCAAAAAGCAGTGTTTTGTGATATGTCTTTGCAAATATCTGAAAAGGAAAGGTTCATTGGTTATTTTTTTAATTTATATTTTCAGTTTTTAAGATATGCTGTTCTGCAACTAGCCTATGAATTACATTGTACCTTCACTTAAATAAAAAGTGTGCAGTAAAATAAGTGGAATGCTAAGGTTCTAACACTGGCAGACAAATACAGCAATAAATTGAGTAAGAGTAATACAGTGAGTGAGAATAGAACATTATTTTCAATTGCACATTGCAGGACAGGGTGAAGTAATTCAGGTAAATTGGGTAAAGCTACATTTGTATTAGCGTTTTGCCATTGTGCGAAGGTTAGTGGCAGGAATCTACTGATTCCTGCTTCTGTGTTTGACACCTGTGAGTGGCTAGTTGTGGCCACCAAGCCTGTACACTTCAATTACACATTTTCGGAGGTCGCAGCTATGCATGGCTGTTTTCAGCAATCTTGTGTGTATGTCCAGCAGCAATCACTGCAGGTAATCACTGGCTATGTGAACAGTCACAAATAGCTGTGGCTGCTGACAACTTGTCATTTAAAGAGTACAGGCTTGGCGACTGCAGCTGGCCCTTCACAAGTGTCAAACACAGCAGAGGAATTGGTAGATTTCTGCCACTGGCATTTTTCACCTTGGTAAGACACCTATGCAAATGTCGCCTTATACTGCTGCCTTCAGGAGACTGAACACTAATAAAACCAGTGGTGTATTTTGGTTTTGTGCTGCCCTAGGCAAGACTAAAATCGGACACCCCCCCACATCTAAATTTGTCCCACCTTTTCATCTGCAAACTCCACCCCTTCCTCTTTAGGCTCTACCTCTTCCTATTAAAGCCCTACCCACTGAAAATGATGGGGCGCTATTCCTCCCACTGACACCAATGATGGGGCATGATTCTTCCCACTGACACTAATGATGGGGCACTATTCCTCACACTGACACTAATGATGGGACATCATGGTGCCCCATCATTAGTGTCAGTGTGTGAGGAATAGTGCCCCATCATTGGTGTCAGTGGGAGGAATAGTGCCCCATCATTGGTGTCAGTGGGAGGAAGTGCCCCATCATTGGTGTCAGTGGGAGGAATAGTGCCCCATCATTGGTGTCAGTGGGAGGAATAGTGCCCCATCATTAGTGTCAGTGGGAGGAATAGTGTCCCATCATTGGTGTCAGTGGGAAGCATAGTGCCCCATCATTGGTGTCAGTGGGAGGAATAGTGTCCCATCATTGGTGTCAGTGGGAGGAATGGCCCCATCATTGGTGTCAGTGGGAGGAAAAGTGCCCCCTCATTGTTGTCAGTGCCGCTCAGCTCCTCCTCTCCAAGCTCCACCTCCTCGCCTGTGATTGGCCGCCTGTGTGCCTTTTCTGAGCTACAGATCTGGCGGCCAATCACCGGCAAGGAGGCGGAGCTTGCAGAGGGAGGGACAGGCTATCATAGGCTGCCCAGTGATCCCAGGGGTGTGGCCAGATTCGAGGGGCGGCTTGTCATCCTGCCCACATCGCGATCAAGATCCAGGAAGATGAAGACACCGGGCGGACACCCTCTGCACCCTCCTCCAGCAGCGCCTTGTGGACCGGATCAACGTGGGACACAGAGTCGCGGACACAGGTAAGACACAGCAGCCCCTGTCCCTTTTCCCATGGAAGTGTCCTTTCCATGGGAAAGGGGGGGTGACGCTGCCGCCATTCCACCCCCCTAAAAAGTGCTGCCCTAGGCAAATGCCTTGTTTGCTTCGCGGCAAATACGCCCCTGAATAAAGTATGTATAACCCCTCCCACTCCCAGCATGACACTTTTCTTACTATTTCATGTTAAAGGATATATTCTCTCTAATGAGAAGAAAAACCTTTTAGCTGACTGCAGGTGACTGGACAATGGCAAAAAAGAGGCTACAGGGGCACCTCTCCATTTAAATGTGTATATAGACCTTTTTGAAGACATCCAATTACAGATGAAACTAGTTGAGGCAGTGTTCCTCAGCTGATACGTCACATCCCATCCCATCCCATCGCTGGAGCTCAAGCCAGCTTCTGGTCTTGGAGCAGCTGTGGACATCTTAACCATAAGTGCTGTATGTATTTAGTTCTGGTCCTGTAATAGTACCAGCATTAGTTCACTTATCTTTTGTTTTTAAGTAAATATTATTTGAATGGGACTTATTGATACTTGGGACATTAGTTGTGGATTCCAGTATTTGTTTATTTATTGCATTTTTATATGTGCTAAACTGTTTAGTAACCTGGATTCACATTTTTGGCAGAACGGTCTATATACAGATGTATAGGGTTCCCAATATGGAAGTTACACACATTTTGAAGACTGCAGCAGCCATAATCACATTCATCTGTGTTTCCTTATTTTTGGTTTTGCCTGTGTTGTAGAGTTTTCATTGCTATTTGTTTATCTCCCTATCTAACACCTTCAACTCTCAGCTATCCTCAGCTTTTTGCTTGTGTCCTTAGGTTATGGACCTCTTCACTCTTTACCTTCTCACTATCTCACTCATCTGGATGATTTCTTCCTCGCACAGCTGCACCATAGCCACTGCAGCTTTTTGTGCAGCTTCTTGATTGGTGGATTCCTCAGCACAGCTTTGAGGGACTGTATCTGGACCCTGTCTGATAAGATGCAGGGCTGGCCTGTCATGATGTTATACACTGAATCTTGCTGTTGGCACTACCCTCTCTTGGTACACAGTGTGTAGTTACCTGCAGTGTGGTTTACAGGTTCACGGCCGAGTCTTTAAAGAAGAGGTATGCCCACCGTGGAAAGGGTGAAGCCAGTAAAAATACTCAGACTCAGGAAGCCCTAAAATTCATCCAACTGCGTGACTCCAATAAGCTGCGCAAGGTCTCAAAATTTTAAGAGGTCAAATAGCATTTTAGACAAGAGAATGGTGGTAACCAAGTCCTCCAAGCCCTTCCTGTTCATGAACAGGAAGGAATAGGATAGCTATCCTATGGACAGCTACTTCTAGTGCCTGCACCTGAAGAGAAGTAGCCTGAAATGAAGACAGACCAACACAATTTTTCTTTTATCCAGCTGTATTTACTCCTGAACAGGAAGGGCTTCGAAGCCTTGGTTACCACCACACTCGTGTCTAAAATGTTATTTGATCTCTTAACATTTTAGACCTTATGCAGCTGATTGGAGTCACCCAGTTGAATGAATTTTTGGGCTTCCTTAGTCTGAACATTTTTACTGGATTGAAACTGTTGGAATAAGTATTCCTGCTGGTATTGGAAAAACACACTTGTGGATAATTGTTTTAAAGGAAACACAGTAAAACAAACTTCACTCTGGAGAAAAAGATTCTTGTGCCACGATCAAGATAGCTCTGTATAATGTGCAATTATGTCAGCATGTGCAGACTGATCCCCTTGACAATGTTGCTTTGAATGAAACGTACATTGGGGTAGGAGGAGTCTGTGCTGACATCATCATCACTGACTGTAGCCGGCACCAGCAGCAGCAGCAGCAGCAGCAGCAGCAGCAGCAGCAGCATTCATTTACATGCGGTTTGATTTGATGACTTTGTAAATAGAATATTTGTGGTTTTTATCAATACATTATTGGCGATATCACACTATGGTGGATTTCTTTTATGTGTGAGCCCTCTTGGCGGCAAGATAAAGGATAAACTATCGTGGCATTGGAATATTTCATCAACATCTAATTACACCATCAGGATGTGTGCATAGACCTCCTATAATTTGGGGTCTAGGGATTTGGTAAGAAACTGGTTATATTGGTGGTGGATGCACTTCTCACAATCGATTGACTATTGAAGTTGATGGACACTTCTTTCACGGGAGAACTTTAATGATTCAGACTTTAATTTATATGTCACATTAGGCTATATATAATGTTTATGTGAGTATTATCTATTTTATTATTCACTTATTTACAGCCCAACTTGTTTGTGACAGTATCATTTAAACATATGGTGGAAGTTTTTTATGTTTCAATATTTTGTTTGTTTTGAAAAATAAGGGAGTGAAATATGGTTCATTCATACAATATTACATTAGACGATACATAGATAAGTATTTTTGTTGTTGTTCCACCCAATGGTAGGTGGAGGTGTAGATCTTGTTTAGCAATGTCATCAGAGGTATTCATATACAGTGGGGCAAAAAAGTATTTAGTCAGCCACCAATTGTGCAAGTTCTCTCCACTTAAAAAGATGAAAGAGGCCTGTAATTGGCATCATAGGTAGACCTCAACTATGAGAGACAAAATGAGAAAAAAATCCAGACAATCACATTGGCTGATTTGGAAAGAATTTATTTGCAAATTATGGTGGAAAATAAGTATTTGGTCACCTACAAACAAGCAAGATTTCTGGCTCTCACAGACCTGTACCTTCTTCTTTAAGAGGCTCCTCTGTCCTGCACTCATTACCTGTATCAATGGCACCTGTTTGAACTTGTTATCAGTATAAAAGACACCTGTCCACAACCTCAAACAGTCACACTCCAAAGTCCACTATGGTGAAGACTAAAGAGCTGTCGAAGGACACCAGAAATGGAAGACATACAAGACCACTGATAATCTCCCTCGATCTGGGGCTCCGTGCAAGATCTCACCCCATGGGGTCAAAATGATCACAAGAACGGTGAGCAAAAATCCAGGACCACACGGGGGGGACCTAGTGAATGACCTGCAGAGAATGGGACCAACATAACAAAGGCTACCATCAGTAACACACTACGCCGCCAGGGACTCAGATCCTGCAGTGCCAGATGTGTCCCCCTGCTTAAGCCAGTACATGTCTGGGCCCGTCTGAAGTTTGCTAGAGAGCATTTGGATGATCCAGAAGAGGATTGGGAGAATGTCATATGGTCAGATGAAACCAAAATAGAACTGTTTGGTATAGAAACACAACTCGTCATGTTTGGAGGAGAGAGAATGCTGAGTTTCATCCAAAGAACACCATACCTACTGTGAAGCATGGGGTGGCAACATCATGCTTTGGGGCTGTTTCTCCGCAAAGGGACCAGGATGACTGATCCATGTACAGGACAGAATGAATGGGGTCATGTATCGTGAGATTTTGAGTGCAAACCTCCTTCCATCAGCAAGGGCATTGAAGATGAAATGTGGCTGGGTCTTCCAACATGACAATGAAGCCAAACATACCGCCCGGGCAACGAAGGAGTGGCTTCGTAAGAAGCATTTCAAGGTCCTGGAGTGGCCTAGCCAGTCTCCAGATCTCAACCCCATAGAAAAACCTTTGGAGGGAGTTGAAAGTCCGTGTTGCCCAGTGACAGCCCCAAAACATCACTGCTCTAGAGGAGATCTGCATGGAGGAATGGGCCAACATACCAGCAACAGTGTGTGCCAACCTTGTGAAGACTTACAGGAAACGTTTGACCTCTGTCATTGCCAACAAAGGATATATAACAAAGTATTGAGATGAACTTTTGATATTGACCAAATACTTATTTTCCACCATAATTTGCAAATAAATTCTTTCCAAATCAGCCAATGTGATTGTCTGGATTTTTTTTCTCATTTTGTCTGTCATAGTTGAGGTCTACCTATGATGCCAATTACAGGCCTCTCTCATCTTTTTAAGTGGGAGAACTTGCACAATTGGTGGCTGACTAAATACTTTTTTGCTCCACTGTATGTACGATGAACCTTGGTGGGGAGTTGGGTTGTTAGGGAGGTTTTGGTGGGGGGGTGGGGAAGGAGAGGATTGGGGGAGGAGGGATATAACTGGGTAATTGAGGAGATACCAGTCTTGGTTTGGACGGTAATTCGACTAGTAAAATGTCATCAGGATTGTACAGAACATTTTGGGTGGTTTAGCCATCGGGTCCATTGGTTATTAAATTTGTAATAGGAAGAAGTATTAATTGCGGATAATTTTTCCATTTCACATTGGGTGTTAAGGTCTGTAATTAATGAAGTGATTGAGGGGGTTTTATTTGTGTTCCATAATCTGGTAATGTTAATTTTGGCCGCAAAGAGTATGTGGGTAATAATTGTTCGGGAATGAGGAGGGAGTTTCTCGATCCCGATGTGTAGGAGTGCTAATGAGGGGTTCGGTGTTAACAAGATTTTGTTTATTTCGGAGATTAATTGAAAAGTAGTATTCCAGAAGGATCTGAGTGACTTACATGACCAAAGAATATGTAGTGTTGAGCCTGGCTCACCACATTGTCTTCAGCATGTAGGAGACTGTTTCGGGGGTAGTAGATGGAGAGTTTGACCGGGTTCAGGTACCATTGGTGGAGTAT